ATTTTCTCGAGCACAATTCCCTTAGCATGAGAAGACCCAGCAAATGGCTTCTTCCACTCATTACCCAAATGAGATTTCTTGTAAGCCTTATCGGCCCATCTTTGCCTAATACGGTGGGACTTGAGCTTGCGCCCAGCTCCCATACCACGTGTCTTCCTATTAAATTGTAGAAGAAAAACACAAATAACATCTTAACAAAGGGCATTAACCAAACTAACCATGGTTTGTTTATAATTGCACAAATTGCTTTTTGATTTTTCACACTATCACCATAGCACAGGCCATTACTGGAGCAACAGATCATCACTTGTTTTCAGTATAAAACAGGAATTTTACAAAGAGACAGAATAAGCAAAGTCTAAAACTTTAAAGAACACACCTTTATTAAGTTTCTCATTCTATCCAAGCACATAACACAAATTATACGATTGCCCCAATTGCCCCAAATATACCCAAAAACAACATACCCAGTATATTCCGAACTGGTCGAGGTCTGGTGTCATTGTACGCAGACCTTACCCTCGTAATGATACAAGGAGGCTGTTTCGTAGCGACGCCCCGAATATACCCAATAGAACAAAATTCATTCCAATCATTTGAGCTGCCCAGCTAACAGTATCGAATATTGAATATCAAAATGATAAACGTCATCATGTATTCATGTTGGCTCAAAAACACGCACTACAAAAACACAAAAAAAAAAAATTAAAAGTAAAAAAAAAAGGTAATTTATCGACGTACCCCATGATTTCAGAGTTGATGAGCTTAAATGAATGAGATTATGGCAGACGAGAAGCAATCCACAAGTGACGCTGTGACTGTGAGAGCCGCCGAATGTGAAGTGTAAGAACCCTAATTCAAAAAATGTGCTGGTTCACTTGTTCAAAATATGGGCCTATGAATTAATATCTCAACTGGGCTGGGCCCGTTTAGTTGGGTGTATGTAAGTCATTCAATTACGGGCTGGAGACTTGGGCCTAATTTGGCTAGTCATGATTGAAGAGTTGATACGGTCACCTTAATTCACCTTTATTTGTGTGTTCACCATTATGCAGTTCTTATGCGTCTTTCTGCGTTAAGATTTTTTTTTTTTTTTTTTTTTTTTAATCAGTACTAATGCTAATTAATCCAATTATTAACCAATGTTTTCTTCTTACATGTTAGAGTTGTTATTCGAATTGAAGTGCTTATGAACATAGCTCGGTTACGAGTTATTCTAATCGAGTTGCTTAAACACAGCTCGATTCTCATAAATGTTCAAGCCCAAATCAATTATTTACTTAAACGATCCGAACTCTTAACAATTGAAACCCGAGCCAAGACTAATTCATTTATTTATTTCGGCTTTAAACAGTCAACCAAGCTGAACTTGTTCGTAAACGCACAAATCTTGTTCGTAAATAAAACGTGTTTGTAATTTAGGATTTGTTAAACGACCCAAGCCGAGCAGCCTCATATATTAAATGAGAAATAACACCCTTACTTGCAGGATCAATTTGACAAATATTCATCATTGTGCATGATAAGTAAAGAAAACATAAGACTGCAGATAAGATTCAGATAATCATACATTAAACAAACAAAAAAAAAAAAAAACGTAAATTTCATTAAAAGAAACAAACACTAAGACAACAAACAAAATCGGTAGAGAGAAGATAACTACATATGCAGATGTAAAGAAAACTTTGTAAGGCTGCATATTATTACATTCATAGAACCAAGTTTCGAGAAGCAATCTTATCTCCTTGAAGAGTTATCTTCCAGCAATCGGCTTGCAGCACAAAAACCGAACCCTTTTTCGGCACAACTGCAGATAACGAGCCGAGCCAGGTCACACAGAAACATCTCGAATATTATATTTTGTGAAAGAAAATGCATTCAAATAAACATTATTTTATAGATAAAGTTGCAGTTGATGTAGGACAGTCGAGCAATTTAAGGATGTAAAAAGAGAAGAACGAAAAAACGTATCGATCAGTTGAAAAAATCATTACCCCGAAATTTGTTATCTTGAGTGATGATTGCTAATGTTTCTTTAGTTTCTCGTATCATGATGCCATGTATTCCAAAATATTCAGCTATTTTACACTGAACAACTACAAAGAGAGTCAGCAGTATGAGAAAATAAATTCATGTAATTAGTAATTAATATGACTATGTTTGGTAAAACTAGTTGATAGCTGATAAACTAGCTTATAGCTTACAAGTGATTTTCGAGCTTATAACTTATGACTTATAAAGCTGAAAAGTCAACTTAAGTCATCTTATATGATAAAAATGTTCGGTAAAATTAGCTGATAAGCTAGCTGAAATAAAAATTTCAACTAGCTTATTTGAAAAGCTACCCAAAGAAGTTTATGAGATAAGCTCGAACTTTTTAAAAAAGCTCGTCTACCAAACGAAGCTTATTCTCTTGCATGCTGTTTCATAGTGCTTAAAGAAAGAGTATCTTTTTTTAACCTAGAATTACAGCTCCATGCAGATCAGCATTGAGGAAACATTGTGCCAACTGATCTTTCCTGCAAGAGCAATCAAAAACTCTTAAATCTCTCACATAATAAACAATAAACGATTAATAAATAAAGCCAATCTACTAACCCAACTAGTTTCAGAAGTTGTGTTATATAGGCTTTCCACTTGTCGTGCATAGGCTTAAAGATTTCAAAGCTGAAAAACATTCATAGAAGGAAAAAAAAAAATTTAAATATATAAAGGTTTCCAGAACCTTAGCAGATATGGTAATAAACGAGAAAAGCAACAATTGCATAACCACATGAGCATGATATGCGAATGTCACATTCTTCAAATTACATATATTGCAAGTTTTAACCGTTGAGGATCATCATAGCAGCATCTTATTTACAAAATTGTTGAAATTCATAGAACTTCCTAATTATATTTAAAAAAAAATGGTTGTATGTAAAAGTGAACAGAAACAGGTACAAAAATGCATGGAGCAAAGCAAAATGAAACTTAAAGATCCATAACGAACTTATGAACTCACTTATGGAACTCTTTAGGCAAATCAAATGATCCACACTTCTTATGTTGCTTTAGAGACATGTGCTTTTTAGAGCGTTTGGACCCATTCTGTAGCGTTCGGCCACTGGACATGCCGCTTTTTTGGACAAAATTATCAAGAAGTATCGTATTCTCGATTTTCAAGGTTTTAGACCCCTGCATGTACTTCTGAGCAGCATCACCATGCTGAAGAAGCTCATGCAATACTCGATTAACTACGGCTTTACCATCAGAAACCTGCGCAATTAAGTAAATGGCTTAATCGTATTTAACAACGAGTTTCTAGTTAGGCAAACATTGAATAACTCAAAGTATAAAAAGATTAAGTTGAAAGAGTGACCTCAATACCATTTGGAAGCAAGTTTTCGTTTACGGGGTGAGAAATCTTCGAATACGCGGGCTCATTTACATCAACATCTGTGAAATTGTATAGATATAATATATTCAACCTTCAGTATAAGTATAGAGTAATGTCAATGACTTCAAACAGGAGCAGCACACAATATAAGTGTACCTTTTTTAGTAGTATGACCCATAAAAGAAATGTGACCTGCATTATCATAACCCGAAGGAGATACAACAATTAAATGAATTGTGAATGAAAAAAAAAAGAAAATCAATTATGAAATCATTGACAGCATTACCATGAGAAATCACTACAACCTCAATCGTATCATTCAATTTCAACACTCGTGTATCACTTGCATTTTTTTGACTCAGTAAACCTTGTAAAACAATTCTCTAATCTTGACATAAGCTAATAATTTGACGAAAAAGAGGGCCTACGATTCAGTGATAGTTCAAGCATTTGCTGCATTTCTAGTTCAATTACAGACATGAAGCTTTTTGATTCTCTTCTGTAGTGTATCTGCATCCACCCCTATTTTTCCAATCTCAAAGTGTACAAAACGCGACAAATTCAGAAAGTTTTTTTTTCAAAACCAGGCAGCTCACACAACATTTCTTATGCCCACATAAAATGAAGGCAACCACCACATAGCAGAAGCAAAACCATACGAATAATCCTAAATAAACAACACACAAGTCAGTAGATTCTTTACTGAATACACGCATCTAACAAAACATTTTTCATGCCCACGAACTAACTAACCATTGCACCACGCATTTCAGGCCATAAATAATCGTACAACAACAACAACAACAACATACCCAGTATATTCCCAACTGGTTGGGGTCTGGGAGTCAGTTGTACGCATACCTTATCCTTGTAATTATACAAGAAGACTGTTTCCGTAGCGACCCAAGGCCATAAATAATCGTAAATTTTTCTTTAACATTCATCGCATATTAGCATCCCACGGCACATGATGAAACAAAAGGAAGACAATAAATCCACAGAAAACTGCAAGCAACCACCAAATAGCAGGAGCAAGAACATACAAAACAATAAAATAAAATAAAATAAACCTTTTCTAGACGGTGTATCAGAATCCGTTTTTTTCAGTTTATCGGACACGGGTTTTCTCAATCTTGAATCAGCAGATGGAGAATCGACATCTGAAGCGACTCTTTCCATCTCCTCAATGGGCCTCTTTTTGCTCCTCCGTTGTTGGGTCTGAACCTCTGCTTTTGCTTGAGCGAACCTGCGCTCTATAGCTTCCATTGTCCGTCTCTTCTGTTCCTCCATAACTGCTTTGCTGCGTGTAAACATTTTACAGCATTAAATAAAGGAAAGCTTGGTATGAAAACCCAGAATAGTAAGACCTCAATTTCGAGCTGGTACCTTTAAACCACGGTGGTTTTGCGGCGGAGACGACGGGGATTTCGAGGGTAGACGGTGCAAACTCGGCCGTGTATGTTTATGTATGTATTCTGACCGAAAATTCGTGATTTCGCAGGTCGCCTTTTACGATCTCAGGGTTTTGTTTAGGGGTTTCCCGGCGAGAGAAGGGTCGGGTCATTTGTGGGCTTTTCTTATTGGATCATGAAATTGAGAAAAGTACATCTGTGGGCCTCAACATGAGAAAATGTGAAATTTGACGGTTACACGATAATCTAACGATTGCAAACCCAAACGAAATTATTCCGTAGCATTAAAAATTATGATAAACTAGTTAAATCAATTCAGTTTGAAAAAAAAAAAAAATACACATCTCTATTTACTTGTACATTTATGCAGTTTTTATTTTTAACTTCAAGTACATTAACTTTTACTATTTACAAATGGTTGATTTACAATTTACTTTTGTCACTGATTTCTAAATTGTATTATTATTATTTTCTATTTATGTCTTGCTTTTTAATAATTTATATATACTCTTATTTCGAATGTCGTATTTTAACATCACTGAATTTTAGTGTGAAAGTATCGTGTTGATGTTGCAATATCGTATTTTCTTCTCATCTACTCTATCTGATCATAAATACGGTATACGGGATAATGCCCGGTTTTCGGCCACAAATACGATAAATTTGGTGTATGTGTGTGGATTTGTAGGAAAAAAA